GAACTCCCCCCCCCCCACCACCAAGAAAACCCAAAACCCAAATTGAATAATCTCAAATAACCTTCCAAAATAAATAACTACCCAAAAACCACCCTTAAAATCAATAATAATAATAAAAAAGCCGCAAAACATCCACGAACGAGAGGAGAAACCAAAAAAAAAAAAAAAAGTAAACAAAATCACAACCAAAAACCAAACCAAACAATCTTTAATAACCCCAATACCCTCCCAAAATAAACAACAACCCCCAAACCACCTTTAAAATCAATAAAAAACCCCCTAAAAAGCCCCAAAACAGAAGCGAGCGAGAGGTGAGCAGGAACTCCCCCCCCCCCCACCACCAAGAAAACCCAAAACCCAAATTAATTAATCTCAAATAACCTTCCAAAATAAACAACAACCCAAAACCACCTTTAAAATCAATAATAATAAAAAAGAGCCGCAAAACATCCACGAACGAGAGGAGAGGAAGAACCAAAAAAAAGTAAACAAAATCACAACCAAAAACCAAACCAAACAATCCCAATAACCCCAATAACCTCCCAAAATAAACAACAACCCAAAACCCACCCTTAAAATCAATAAAACCCCCCTAAAAAGCCCCAAAACAGAAGCGAGCGAGAGGAAAGCAGGAACTCCCCCCCCCCCCCCCACACCAAGGAAACCCAAAACCCAAATTGAATAATCTTAATAACCTTCCAAAAAAATAACTACCCAAAACACCCTTAAAATCAATTAAACACCCCATAAAATCCCAAAACATCAGCGAACGAGAGGAGAGGAGAAACAAAAAAAAAAAACTAAACAAAATCACAACCAAAAACCAAACCAAACAATCCCAATAACCCCAATAACCCTCCAAAATAAACAACAACCCAAAACCCACCCTCAAAATCAATAAACCCCCCTTAAAAAGGCCCGCAAACCCCCCAAAACCCCCCAAAGGAGGCTCGCGCGAGGGGCTCCGGGCCGCACGCATCCCGCCGCTCACATGTTCTCCGGCATTCCTTGTGAGGCTGACTGTGAGCCCCGTGCTGAAGCCACAAGGAAAAACCTCAAAATTCTCTCCAATGAGTAAGTTTCCCCCGATTTTCTGCCGGCGGATCGAGAGCCCAGAGTCCGGCGGTGGTTTCGAGGCCGGATTTGTGTGGATGGAGGGAAAAGAAAAGGGAGAAAATGGCGAATGTTTTTTTTGTAAGCTCGGGGAGGATCAGCTGTGACGTGGTTCGTAAATGGCGGAGGACGCAACGTTTTCGGGGTCTGGAATGGGGGTTTTTCGCCTTTTTTGGCCTTGTTTTTAGCCCTTTTCTCCCTTTCTTGGAGGTTTTGGACGGGGAGGGAGGTAATTCGAGGGAGGAAAGGGGTTTTGAGGAAGTAGAAATAGAGGAAAGTAGTTTTTTTTATTAGATAAATTATTCATATAAAGTACGTGTCTCTCTCTCCGACGCTGAGTCACTATTATTATTTCTTTTTTTTCCCTTCTTTTCCTAGCTCTTTCTTCTATCTTCTGTTCGTAAATATATTCCTCCGCTTTCGCAAATTCGCAAAATCCACTTAATAAAACCCGCACGACGTGAATTGGGGAAGAAAAAGTCCATTTAATTGGGAGTGAATTGAAAGCTTCCGTTATTGACCCAAAATGGGACCTCAAGGAGAGGCTCAAACTTTTTTTTTTCTTTTTTTCTCTAATTTGGCTTCGAGTTTTGCGTCGGTGGATGGGTTTTCTTTGAGTTATTGTTCGCGTTTGTTTGTTTCTGTTGGAGATAAGGGGTCTGTTTGTTTTTTGTGTCTATTGTGTCCTTATGTAAGCTTTTGGACGAGCCATATGTCGTTTTTTTTTTTATTATGTGAAGCGGTTTTATGGTGATATTCGACTGCAGGGTCAAAGTGGGTAACGGGGTAGTGGCCAACTGTTGAAACACAACCCAGCAACACCTAACAATATAAGTTGCCGTGACTAGGTGTGTATCTCAGGTACTGCACGAGGGACGCGTTCTCTTCACCTTGGTGTGTACGGCAAGGTAGAGACGCTTCCATTCTTTAACCACTTGCTGCTGGGTGGCTTGTGCGTACATGCCATGGCTGTTGTGGACCGAAAAACGGATGGCATCGTATCATGACCATTCCCGCAATGCGATGGGGGTCGGCGCTGATTGGCTCTCAGAACCTGACCATCATAAAGTCAGGTTCTGAGAGCCAATCAGCGTCGACCTCTGTCACATTGCCTTGATTGTGGGAACAACAATGCAATTGCCTTCGCAAACTCCTGTTGCAGAGGGCTTCGCATTGATTATGAATATGGCCGCTAAAGTGAAGGTAAACCTTCAAATTTATATTATTACAATTATAGCAAAATAAAAGCTTTTAGGTACCGAATATCGCTCGCAAACTACCGAACGGGTTGGGTGTAAACGGGAAATTACCGATGTGCACCAACAATCCTGTTTTCATGTCCGTATGCCAAACTTTTTTTACCCGGCAGCATTGGGTTAAACAACAAACTAAATACCTTAATATCTCGAAGCACTAAATTTTCCTTCACTTCTCTCTACTGTGTGGACTGCATTGTCTCTAATCACTTTTTTTGTCATTTGGGGCACTTGATGGACTCAGATATCAAACTGCGATGGTTATTAAGGTCTATTTCTTCTTTGTTGCCACTGCATAGTCTGAAGAATAACCTGGAATCGATAAAATGCCAAAAATGAAACATTTCTTGCTGACCATCTGTCATGAAATGGCTGGGAATCCTCCTGTAACTAGTGCCTAGAAATTTGCCTGTGCAGAAGGTTCTTTGTAACGATTCTCGTACAAAACTGTATAGATAAATCTTAAAACATATAAATGAGCTATAACAACATTAATAAAAGCCATTGAAAGCAGACACTGATGATGAACAAAATGTCTTTTTGACAAGCATGTAGTAACACACAAACTTCTTGGCACCTCGCAATAACGAGTTCTGTGATCAGTCCAATGTTTACTCTCGACATGTAAACAAGATGATCGATTTTAGGAAGCATTTCCACAAATATTGCCATAGAAGAAAATTGTCGGGGGTCTTGGGGTGGGGGGTCATGGTCAATTTCGTGTATAGCAGGGATTTCAAAAGGTAAAGAAAGTGTAAAAATGAAAAACCCGAGCCAAGAATTGTATTTCACAATGTAAAGATGATTTGATAGTGTGTTGCACAAACGAAAGAGCGAATCGGCATAAACGCACAATCTATCTTAAAGAAAGCCGGACGAACCAAAGAACCCCGGACCCCCTCTCAATTGCTGTATTTCCTTACGAAATACAAGTTACAGAAACTCCGTTCCATGTCTTTCGGCCGGGGAAGAAGGAATGACCCGAGTCCTGAACCCTTAAAAGTGGGTTGGACAAAGTGAAGGCAGAATCTGCTGGGGAGCGTTGTGTGGTCAAGCCCCATCAGCCCTCCCCAAGGGCAGACTTCCATTCTTGGCAACTTAGATTGTTGAGTAAATTTTGGAATGTTTCTGGTTATCATAGACTGGAGGTCACGGCTCCTCTGTATATAGTCTTACGAGCATAGGTTTGCAGATTATAGATGGTGATTGTTATTATACTTCTATGAAATTTAGATGATTTTTTATACCAAGTACTGTGGTTTTGTGCTCTTAACCCACTAACGATGGGTGTCCTGCCAGTGTGACACTGTATCAGGGTTTGCGCTCCAACACAGCAGTGGGCTGCTGCCGGCGCGCAGGCAGAGTCTGGGCCAGCCCCGCATGCTGATTTTGTAGCCGCCAGGAATCTTTTATTTTCGGCTTCAAAATATACCCGCATTAATGGGTTAAGTGCATAGCTTTAGTTTTCTTTTTCTTTGTGTGGTCTTGTTTTAAGTATTTACCAAAAATACTATTTTGCTGTTGTGTGTTCAATTTTACTGATCTGCCAACAAAAACTTACCTTTCAGTAATTTTACAGAATAGTTTGTCCAATCGGTATAGGTTGAAGACCGCGACGCGCGTAGATAGAGGAAAATGGACACCGCCATCTTATAGAGCGGGAAAAAAGAAGGGGATAGCGTATAGTTTAAGATGCATCGGCCTTATAGTCACCGCTAAATGACGAAAATATAACGCGCGGCCGCCTTTCAAATTCAAAGTCGATGAGCTTGTTTACCTTGCTAGGAAAAAACACGACACTGACCCAAGAACGCATTTTTGCGTTCGCAAACTAGTCCGTGTATCATTACGCGCTTGTCAAAACGATATTTGGCTAATTATCTGTGTCTGCTGGTACGCATTTATACCTTTAAAGTCTTAGTATGTTATTATACTTCATTTGCATATTTAATATTTATCTATACCCATATCGAATCCTGCGCATCGAGTGTTTCACACTTTCTTGCGCCAGCCACAGGTTGACAGCTCACCAACCCGCTCATTTCGAGATTGAAAGCGTGAGAAATGTTGCGTTTCCAGTGTTGTGTTGCTTCTGGGTTCTTTTTTAAGACCTTACAGTACAAACGAAAAGTTTCACGTTTCAGGATATAAAGGTATTTGGTTTATTATTTTACGGTGTGAATGCAGCTCTGTCTTGCCGTACATACCGTGGTGGAGAGAATGTGTCCTGGGGGTGTTGGGGGCTTGCCCCCCATCAACCCTCCCTCGGGCAGTGCCCGAAGGGCACGCCTAGTCACGGCAATTTATATTGATATATTAGGTTGGTTGGTTTATTGGTCAATACGTTTTTGGGGGTTGGAACGTGTGAATTCCTGTAGATTTTTTGCCGAAATGTGGGTTGGGTTCCCGTAGAGTTTTTGATTTATTTCGCGTCAGTCCGTAAACTTTCAAAGATGGCGGTTACATCCGTAGAGTTTCATTGGCCGATTTTAAGCGCTTTTTGTGCTAGTTTTACGCATTTTTGATCGTTATTCTTCTTATTTAAGCTTGTTTTACCCCGTAATTTCCCTGATATACTTCATGCCCTCCCCTGCTAACGGACTATCAAATCAAGATCGTCGATGGAGAAATGGTACTCGATCTCCTGAACGATTCATTCGCAAAAGAAACAACGCCGAAAATCAATGAAATCATAGGATTTCATGCAGAAAAAACATCATTTTTTTCGACTTAGTCTCTGCGAGGTGCGTCGCGGTCTTCAACAATTACCGTGTGTTCAATTTTACTGATCTGCCAACAAAAACTTACCTTTCAGTAATTTTACAGAATAGTTTGTCCAAACGGATCACCCTCACAAAGCCAGAGTTCTGAATGTTTAGTTACTTGTCCCTGAGAGAGGTGCACCCTCCAGAGATCAAGTCCCAAAACTAAGGTATCATACAAACCCCAAAATCCAAACACAACCTTTTCTAGCTTCTATTTATTCCCTAGACAGCTGTTGCTCTTGGTAACAAAGTGCTAATAAAGGGGGGGGAGTTTGCACAGAGATAGAGGGAAATGGTCACTGCCATCTTTTAGAGAGAATTAAAAAAAAAAATGATAATGAAATAAAAGATATAAAGAACGCAAGAACAGCTGCTGCTGCCTCATTTACCGAGAAATGAATGTAGTATAAAACAATTCTAAAGCATTTCTCTTTCTGCAGAATCGGAAATGACAGACGACCTGGACGTGGATGCGATGTTGGAAGCTCCTTTTAAAAAGGAGGTAAGTGGTATTTTTTTTAATTGCATCTTTTTCTTTCTCTTTATTATTACTTTTCAGGGTAATTTTTGGTTTCTTATTTTTAATTTTATTTATAATTATTATTGTTATTTATTAACATTTATTATTTTTCCTGTGCTTGTAATGAAATATGTGAACTTGTCAGTCTACTCTTGAAGTAACTATAAAAAAGTAACTGGAAAAATGAAATATCAGATGCTGATTGAACTACAAGATTATATCCAATGCTTGTTTTTTGCAGAACAAGTGTACGAACAGTCATTCTACATAATGACTTCGATGTGATTTGTATGTGACTTTTAGGCCCATATATATTATATTTTACATAAACATAGAATAATGTGAGTGAGTGCTGTATGTTCAGTAGCTTAAATGGAAGCTGCAGGAGTGTTTGTGTGTGCGTGTGTATTTGTGTTGGTGTGTATATATAAATGATCTTGCAGCCTTGTTGGCCCCATCATCATTCTTTGGCACTAAATTTTTTTTCCTCCAATGTTAAAAAAAAAAAAAAAGAAAAAAAAAAGAGAAAATTACATGTCCATGAACATTCATTCATCCTAAGTACGTAGCTTTCTCTCCTTGTTCAAGAGAAAAAGTGCTCTATTCGTTTTGTCAAGAGAGAAGCTGTGCTACACAAATTGTTCGCGTTGACAAGGTTGCAAGTTGGCGAGTAAGAAGCTCTCGTGTGCCTCGCTGATCTTCTCTTCCCGTTCTCTGTTGTTTTAGATAACCTATTCAGTCACTGTCTCCCAACCCTCCATGATAAAACGGTCGTGAGCTCCCGTGCTCCCTACACCGCCAGGTACTGGTAGTCATAAGTTATACCTCTGTAAGTCAATGCTAGTTTTCTCAATAAAGCTTTTCATTATATCTTTTGGTCTTGCTAAAGAGTAGTTTGTAGCACATACTTGTTCTGATGAGCCTAAGATTATTACAGATCTATTTATATATTAACTGTGTGTATCATTATATGATGACGAAAAAAAAAAAAAAAAAACTTACCCATGTTTCATACCTAGATGAGCTTTAGAGGTAGTTACCAGCAAACTCTTTCAATGACCATATATCATTAGGGTATATTTACTACTGGATCTATTTTTAGCTTTGGATATTTTCTTTGTTTTTTATGTCATAAATATATTGCATAAGTAGGGCATCAATATCCAGTTTTAAAAAATATAAAGACAACTTGGCAAGTATTATGATCAGTCTGGCTACTTTGTAATTGTGGTTGTATCTATACACAAGTTTCGAGGATGTAGAAGCCTGCTACAAGTTTTCATAAGCTTGCTGTGTTATCTTTAATGATTGTGGTGATATTTTCTTTGGGAGAAGCTTTTTGATAAAAAAAAAAAAATCTTAAATAGAAGTTAAAGAAATAACTTGTGAATTTGTGGAGTATCCAAGCCCAAAAATGAAGAATTTTAGTGAACACTGCTCTACTAAAACAAGGGTACCAAAAAGTGAAGAAAAGTGGTTATTGGTGAAGCTGTGGTGTGTCCGTGCTGGCCTGGTACTGACAACTTGGTATCTTCACTCAGATGCTGGCGACGGCAAGCTCACATCATCGAGGGATCTCGCTCGTTACTCTCTCCACTCAACATCCACGACCTTTAATTGACCACAATATTAGTTGTTTTTGTGTCATGAGGACAGTCAGTCAAAACAGGTATAATCTTGAAGAAAATGTTGAGTTCTGCTGTGGTCAGTCTGATCTTATATATATCTTTTTTTCCCCCCGTTTATTTTTATTTTTATTTTATTTTTTTATTTATTTTTCCTCTGTGCTGTGACTGGTGCATGTGTCGAATATTGATGCAATATATCTTCACGTGGCGTCAAGGCTCCAGTCTAAAGTTTGCGTTTTGCAGGCGGCCGTGCCTTGGTTGGACCCTACGGCTAGAGAGAGACAACAGGTACTAGCGGGATGGAGGCCACGACATTATATAGATTTTGGTGCACGGGGCTAAAGGTGCACTAAAGGTGTCTAGGGTGTGCTTGATTATTTGTACCCCCCAGTGGTCTGTTGATAGTGAGCCCGACAGGTTAACTGCTCTTGGATTCGTATGTGTGACTGAGGACTGCTGTTTTGTGTTTACGTGAGGCTGTAGTGATTTCCCACTCTGCAGTTTCGCAGAGTGGTAGTGCTGTGTGTTGCTGGCCGTATGGAATACCTTATAGTCCAGACTGGTGTGAGAGGCAAATGAAGTGTGACTGTAAAATTTTCATAACATGACCATCATCCAGAGCTTTCTACAAGGTCATCATGCATATTAAATCCACCTCAAGAGATGTTAATCCATTTTTCATAGCCAAGTTTTGATACTTGGTGGGAGAATGTAATGTTAGGTTTAGTATGTAATGTTGAGAACTAATGCGTGGCTGTTCTGTTCTCTTCTCCCCCCCATCCTTGCCCTTCTCCCACCACCAACCCTGGCTGGTGCTGCCGTTACACCGTCTCTTGTGCTCCCCTAGGACGGAGGCAGTTCGTCGGCGGACTCCAAACCCAAGGAAAATGGTCACACATCCTCAAAAGACAAGTAAGTGATGCATGCCATGACTTCACATGCAACGGCTTTAAATTTTAGGACTACAAGATCAGAATGCCAATAATAAAGCAGTTTCCTCTAAAGGAACATTTGCCCAACTGAAGAAGCTGCAGAGAAAGCTACATTGATATAGAGAAATACTATGTTTTCTTGGTTTGCGATAAATGCTGAGTAAATTGATTGAAACTTTTTCAGATTATGAAATTAGAACGACTTGTAATTTCTGTCATTATATTTATACCATTTATTTATTCTTGTTTTCAGAAAGGAGAGAGAGAAGGACAGAGAGAAAGATAAAGATAAGGAAAAGGATAGAAGAGACCGAGACAAGGACAAAGGCAAAGACAGGGACAGAGACCGTGACAGGGACAGAGACAGAGACAGGGACAGAGACAAGGAGAGGGACAAAGACAAAGACAAGGATAAGGACAAGGATAAGGATAAAGATAAAGATAAAGAAAAAGAGAAAGACAAGGATAAAGATAGAGACAGAAAAAGACGCTCCAGGAGCAAGTCCCGCGACAGGAGGAAGAAAACGCGTAGCAAATCCAGAGACAGAGATAGAAAGAAGTCTCGGTCCCGGTCTCGGGACAAGGACCGGAGGAAAAGGTCTCGATCAAGATCAAAAGATCGGAAACGAAGATCACGCTCTCGCCGCCGTAGCAAAAGTCGCAGCAGGGATAGGCGCCGTAGTAGGAGTCGTAGCAGGGACAGGCGCCGCAGTAAAAGTCGTAGTCGAGAACGCCGGAGGAGAAGCCGCAGTAGAGACAGGAGGAGGAGCCGCAGTAGAGAGCGTAGACGTTCACGCTCTAGGAGTAAAACACCAAAACTGTAAGTGAGAGTGCTGCTCATTAATGACAAGCAAAGTCTTGGTTTCTTTCCGTTTTATGGGTCTTTTTTTGGTACTAATTCGTGTGTGTATGTTGATGATGCTTTGTTTTTTATGTATCAGAATATAATGGTTATTTTATAATACAGTGAAAGTATAAGTTATATACAACATTAGCACCCAACATTTCCAACCACTTCATATAAAGTTCACATGAAACTTACTGTCAAGGAGAAGGATGCTAGTGTAGTTTCCTTATTCTTTTTTTTAATAAATCCTGTCTTTTCACAGGGAGCTTTCTGTCGAGGAGAGAGATGCACGTACTGTGTTCTGCATGCAGCTTTCCTCGAGGATCCGGTCGCGGGACTTAGAGGACTTCTTCTCCGTTGTGGGCAAAGTGAATGATGTTCGCATCATAACAGATGCAAAAACCCGTAGATCAAAGGGTATTGCTTATGTTGAGTTTGTGGATGTAGAATCGGTCCCTCTGGTAAGTACAAAAATCCTGATTATAGTCTGTTCATGCGTGAATGCATTGATTTTGTTGATCCCATAATACTGCAGAATGAGTATGTCCTTATGGCTTTAGTCTTAAGCCCTCTCTTGAAAGTCACAGCCAGGAGTAAACTTGGTTGAGGAATTTGTAATTGTAGTTGTATTAATTTCTATAGAATTTTCCCATGTGGATTTATGAGTTATCCCACTTAAATAGTATCAAGTTTTCTTCTTTTATCCGCGACAGATTACCCCAGTGTCAAGACTTCCGATGATGTGACTAGTTTCTCTTACAATGTCCTTGAATTAATTGGTGTTACTTTTTTTAGCAGTATTTTTTTCTGTTTAGAAAATTTATATGAAGAATGTCTTGGGCTTTTTGAGGTCTTTGTTAGTAAGACATATGAGTATATAGGTATCTATGTTTACTGTCTCAGTGGAGTGACTGTTTCATAGCATTTATATGATCATTAAATGTTAATTCCTTTTTGCACAGGCTCTTGGTTTGTCAGGTCAGAAGATCCTAGGCGTTCCAATAGTATGTCAACCAACGCAGGCAGAGAAGAACCGTGCTGCCAACACAGCGGCAGTGCAAGACCAGAAGGCGGCAACAGGTCCCATGAGACTTTATGTTGGCTCGCTGCACTTCAACATCACAGAGGACATGCTTAGGGGTATTTTTGAGCCTTTTGGGAAGATTGATCACATCCAGTTGATAATGGATTCCGAGACTGGAAGATCAAAAGGCTATGGGTTTATCACAGTGAGTAACAGATTATGGTCATGTACTCGTCTTGATAACTTGGAGTTTGTAGAAGTTGGAGGGCTTCAATTATACATATCAATTTGTTATAAACGTTAGAACAAATACATAGTAGAGAGTAATATCATATAGAAATGTCAGTGTTACGGATTTTTATTTATTGTTGTTTTCCTCCCCCTTAGTTCCACAATTCTGATGATGCCAAGAAAGCCTTAGAGCAACTGAATGGATTTGAACTAGCAGGCCGACCCATGAAAGTCAATCATGTGACAGAAAGGTCTGAGACACAGCAAGGAACTTCACTCCTAGATTCGGACGAGATGGAGAGGGCTGGTATTGATCTAGGTATGTTTGTTTTGTGAAATACTAGACTTTTTAAAACAAATCAAAAATATATTGGTTTGTGATAATTTTATAATAATGACTCAATTTCAGTTAGGAGAAATGAAAGAATGATAAATGTATGACAGTGAATAGAAATTTCTCTTTTGCACTCCCTATTATGTAATACATTTTACTTTGATTTCACATTGCAGGTGCAACAGGCCGCTTGCAGCTAATGGCAAAGTTGGCTGAAGGTACAGGCCTGCAACTGCCTGCTGCTGCTGCTAATGCCTTACACATGCCAGCACAACCACAGCAGCAGCCAGCACCACCTATTGCAACACAGTGCTTCCTTCTGTCAAATATGTTTGATCCATCCACGTAAGTATTTGAGGAGTTTTGTGTCTTCTTTGCGTTCATGAAATTGGTACTCTTGTGTATATATTCTCAGAAATTTTATTTCTTGCTGTAATTTTAGTACTATTACAAAGGAAGCAATGCAACACAGTAAGTGCATAACAAAATTAACAGGAATTGGCTCTCTCCTTGTCTCTTCTCTTCCTCATCCTCTTCATGTTTCATTATTTTGATGAATATTTTTCAGAGAAACAAACCCCAACTGGGCAGATGAAATAAGAGATGATGTTTTAGAAGAGTGCAATAAGCATGGAGGTGTCTTACACGTGTTCGTGGACAGACAATCAGCACAGGGGAATGTCTATGTCAAATGCCCCACAATTGCAACTGCTGCAGCATCTGTTAATGCGCTCCATGGAAGATGGTTTGCAGGTAAGGAAACTGCTTGCTTGCTTTTTCTATTGATATCTGTATCTACAGCTCTCTCTTTATGTGAGATAACATCACTCTTTTCATAACTGAAGTTATGATGAAAGCAGTTTTCTGTTCATTTCATTTTGTGGAGGTGTTAATGAATAGATGAAAAAAGTAAAGTCCTTCTCTGGATATGCATTATTGCAGAATAATGAATCTAATATGTGCCATGCAGTATTCCAGTGTAGTTTCTAGATATTAAGATGTTATTAATTGCTGTTTTTCCTTTTTCAGGCAAGATGATCACAGCAGCCTATGTACCTGTTATGAGCTATCACTCCCTCTTCCCTGAGGCAATGAATGCCACACAGCTTATATATCCTCGATGAGGTACCTGATCATTAAATGAAGACATTTTTTTTTTTTTTTTTTTTTTTTTTTTTTTTTTTTCCCCCCCTCCCCAATTACATTTTATTATTGTTTGTAACTGCTGATGACGCAAGTGACAGAAGGAAACATCTGTACGTAAAGTTTTCAGCTGGACAAGAAATATGTACTTGTTTGCAATGCAAATTATGATACGTTGAGTTTCACCTTCACTTTTTTTTATTTAGAATTTTTTTTTTTTTTTTTTTTAGCACCCCTCTTCCTTTTTTTAAGTGTTTATTTCCTAAGATTTTAGACTTCTTGATATCCAAATCCTTTTTTGTTGACAGATCTGGATATAAGAAGTTTACTGATACAGTCACACGTGTATATAAGATACCGATGATGTGTTGATGGCAAGTTTCAGAAGTGTGCATCAATGGTTGTCCAGCAAGGTAACCATTTCTCACCTTTTGGGTCTGACAGAATAGGTAATAAAAGTGTTAAGCGTGACCTTCATGTAAGGCGTTTGTGATAGTGGACTTACAGAATAGGTGATTGTTTTTTTCTCTTTTTTTTTCTGAAATATGTTGGATGAGGTTTTTTTCTTCCTTGCAGCCAGTATTTTGTTTTAAGACTTTAGGTATCCTATATAGATATATCAATTTGTAAAATTGATTAGGCTTTTCAGGTTCATTGTGATTTCTTTGATTTTGTAAAGATATTTGACTCCTGAAAACTGAAATGGTGACCCATTCCCCTTTTACTCTAGAAGATCCTGGGACTCCTCTGCGAACCTTGCGACCGCAGGGCAAGCAGGGAAAATCTTTGTAGAAAATACCTTGAGGTGGTTATTAAGATTGTGAGACCTGTCATTAACTGTGCTATAAATATTACAGATCATTAGTCAGAATGTTGAAGGATTGATTGTAAAATATTTTTTCAAGCAAAATATATCCTGTGGATTGATGGGAGATTTGATTGTGATTGGGCTTAATACACATTTGGTGTGAATGACGTGACCTTGTGAGGAGTGTAAATATATGTATAAATGGGTACATGTGGATCCCTGCACTCCATTCATTTTGTGCTTGTATAAATAAACATTCATAACCAGACCATCATTGCTTTTCTTCACCTTTTGAATTTGGTTGGAAATTTGTTGGAAACCACCATTGTTGATAATGCTGTTATTTTAATGGACTTAGTCTTCCGGGTTTTGGTGATTATGGACCTCTATAACATGTAAATGCACTTAAACAATGTGGCAGATAATTTCAAGAGAAAATTTTCCATCTTGCACTCTCCTTCATACTCTGCAACAGTTCCAAAACCCTCATCTTGATATTCGTATCTTCTCGCAAGGTGGTGCTGATTTCCATTCTGTGGCACCCTGGTCTCTGGGTTTTTAATTCCACTTCTGCCAAACTTTCCAAGCCTTCACCCACTTCATTACATGCCTCACATACTGCAATGGGTTTTCAAGCTTTCACTAGCTTTATCTGTATTCTTGTTTTTATATGTATGTTTTTTGAGCTGCATATAGATTTTTCAAATTTTTACATTATGGGCAGTACTATATGCGTGTTTGCTGTTGGCTATGCCTAGTATTCTCAAAGGGAAAAAGGAATTCCAAGGCCAGTTACAGAAGCCGTTACTGCAGAACAGATAAAAGAAATACATGATCCTATTTCAGTGATTTTTGAAATTGTGGTCTATTTGAAAGGAAATGTATTTTTTTTCTACTTTGGCTTCTATTCTTTCCTGATATGTGTACAAGATATATTAGAAAATATAAAACACGACACTAAACAAGAGTTTGTACAAAGAGGAGATTAAAAGCTAACAAAAATCGAGAAGATAGTAATGCTGGAAGTCGAGAGCAGACCATCCCAGAACACACACATGGGGAGGTAGTTAAAGCAGCAGGGCAACTTCCAAGTCTTCCGAGGCGATAGTGGAGGGCACAGGTGGAAATGAGCTGGAAGTGAAGAAACTAGACAGGGGTAGAAGGAGAAAGGTTAACTGTATATTAACTGACAATGGTGCTATAAAAGGTGAATGGAAAAATACACTGCGGTTGATAAGACCAGTGCTGCTACATGGTACAGAGCGACTTGGGCATCTAGGAGAAGAGCAGCAGCAATTGGTGAGAGTGGAGACGAGAATACTAGTGTCCAATCAGAGAATCAGAGAAGAGTAAGGATGCCAGACTGCATCAGACTGGGATGCCGTCGACAGGCATACCGAGGTGGAGGAAACACTGAACAAGGCAGGGGGTTGGGAGGTCAAGAAGACTGAGATGTATGGTCTTATGTTCAAAGAAATTGTGTAACGCAAATCAGTTCATGACACAATTTTCTTTAGCTGGATTGATCATGATTGTAGGAAGTCAACCTACCTTCTTAACCTATCTTTTTAAAAATACAATGTTCATGATTGTAGGAAGTCAACCTACCTTCTTATCCTCTTGCCTTATTTTGGTATACCAGCTGATTTTTTGCGGAATTATTCCCTAGTAGAGGATTTTGTGCTTTGAAGAGTGGATTCCACAATTTCTTTAAGCATACGACTGTTATATATATATGGAATGGAGTGCCAAAGCAGCAGACCTATTGGCAGTGGATGTAGAGGATAGATGTTCCAGACCACACCATAGTGTATAACCCCAAAAAGGACGAAGGCGAAATGGCAATATAAGACATGTTATCTCCGATATCTCTACAATGTAAACAGTTCTACCTCTATCTGTAGTCTATCGACCTATATCAATAACCATAAATTCATGCAACAGTTTATATAATATTCTGCAAACAAGACAAACCCAAGTCTGTAGACATGCGGTGTCTTCGATAAAGTGAGAATAGAAATCGGATGATTGGGAGAATGTGAATTTTTCATTTATCTATATATGACAACTGGATACAGGACCTCTAAACAAGATTTTACAATACTGAAATACCTATGTATGCGCGCGCACACGCACGCACACACACACGCACGCACACACACACACACACACACACACACACACACACACACACACACACACACACACACACACACACGCGGCGCGCGCGCGCGCGGCACACTGGTAGTGTGAATATCTATCCATCTATATCTATCTATCTATATTCTATTTATGTCTATCTATCTATATATCTATTTATATCTATATCTATATATCTATATTCTATCAATTTATACCTATCTATCTATATCTATATCTATCTATATCTATCTATATATATCTATATCTATATCTATCTGTCTATCTATCTATCTATATCTATCTATATCTTTCTATATCTATCTATCTATATCTTCCTATATATATCTATATGTATCTATCTATATATATCTATCCATATTTATCTATACCTATCTCTATATCTATCTATATCTGTCTACCTATATCTATCTAGCTATATCTATCTACCTATATCTATCTATATCTATCTATCTATATCTATTTATATTTATCTGTATATATGTATCTGTGTATATCTATCTATATCTATCTACCTATATCTATCTATCTATATCTATCTATATCTACATCTATTTATATCTATCTATATCTATATCTATTTATATCTATCTATATCTATGTGTATGTCTATATCTATCTATCTATATTTATCTATATCCATCTAACTATATCAAGATCCCAGAAACTGAGGATTTCTGGCTCCTGGTACCAGCGCCCAGACCCACATCGTTGGACATGGTACAGCGATGCGGGTAATGCAGCCAAGGAGATCGACCTCATTCTCGTTAGCACTCGTTGGAGGATCCTCCAGAACTGCAGGATGTATAGGAGTGCCGAGTTCTGTGGTACTGACCATAGATTGGTTGTGGCTGCCCTCAGGGTTCACTTCAAAACTCCCCAGCGGCCCAATGAGCACCCTAGGGTGTTTCATCTGGACAGGCTGAAGGAGAGGGAGTGTGCTCGGAGGTTTGCTGAGACAATCTCTGATCGGTTCACAGCGCTCGACAATCTGACGGACCCTGTACTTCTGTGGGACACCTTCAAGCGAGAAACGCTTGATGCAGCCCAAGAATCGATTGGAGAACGCCCGAGAGCAATTTAATCTCTCAGGAGACACTGGAAGCCACAGATGCTTGCCGTGCGGCTCGTCTGGCAGCGGATCGGGATTTGCACCGTTCTCAGGTGCGCAGAACTCGGTCTCTGTTAAGAAGGGACAAGGAACAGTTTATTAGGAGTCTTGCTGAGGAGGTCGAAGGCCATTTCTTAGTAAATGACCTTCGTCCTGCATACCAAGCCCTGAGAAAACTGAATTCCAAGCCCTCTTCACAGGTGACTGCAGTTCGCTTAGATCCTGTTGCGGTGCGAGAGCGTTGGGCTGAGTACTTTGAGCAGTTGTATCAGGTTGACCCTCCAACAGTTAACTTGGATGTGGGTAGTGCCGTGATTCCGCTGCCGGACCCATCCTCCCTAACTGAAGTTAGGGAGGCGATCTCCAAGCTGAAGAGTGGTAAAGCAGCGGGTATTTGCGGCATCCCAGCTGAACTGTTAAAGGCTGGTGGTAAACCTATGGCACGGGGATTGCATGCTGTCCTGGCTGCCATTTGGCAGTCCGGTACCGTTCCCTCTGACCTGTTGAGGGGCGAGGTCATCCCTCTCTGGAAGGGGAAGGGGGACCAATGGGATTGTATCAATCACCGCGGCATGACACTGCTGTGTACCACGCAAGGTTCTTGCCCGCATCCTTCTGAGGCGTATTAGAGACCATCTACTAAGGCATCAGAGGCCAGAGCAATCTGGATTCACTCCTGGTAAGTCCACAATAGACCGTATCCTTGCGCTTCGAGTCATTGTAGAGCGCCGTCGTGAGTTCGGACGTGGGTTGCTCGCAGCCTACATCGACCTCAAGAAGGCATTCGATACAGTGCATCGGGAATCACTCTGGGAGATCCTGAGACTGAGAGGAATTCCAACAAGGATTATTGAACCTGTATACTGGTACTGAAAGTGCTGTAAAGTATGGTGGGGGGCTGTCGAGCTTCTCTCCTGCCAGTTCAGGAGTGAGGCAAGGCTGTGTTCTTGCACCAACACTTTTCAACACCTGCATGGACTGGATACTAGGCAGAGCTACTGTTCAAAGTCATTGTGGAGCAACACTGGGTAATATTAAAGTTACAGACCTTGACTTTGCCGATGATGTTGCTATTCTATCTGAGTCTTTGGAAACCTTAGTGGTGGCTCTCGATGCATTTAGTAATGAAGCGAAGCCCTTGGGTCTAGAGGTCTCCTATCTATCTATATATATCTATCTATATCTGTCTATCTGTATCTATGTCTATCTATATCTATCTATATTTCTGTCTATCTATCTATATGTCTATCTATATCTATCTATCTATTTCTGTCTATCTATATCTATATCTATCTATATATCTATATATATCTTCTCTATCTATATCTATCTCTATGTCTATCTATGTATATCTATCTCTATGTCTATCTATATCTATCTATATCTCTCTTTATATCTATATCTATCTATCTATATCTATCTAACTAAATCTATCTATCTATATCTATCTATCTATATCTATCTAACTAAATCTATCTATCTATATCTATCTGTCTATATCTATCTAACTAAATATATCTATATATCTATCTATCTATATCTATCTATATCTATCTATCTATATCTATCTATCTATACCTATCTAACTATATCTTCCTATCTATATCTATTTATATCTAACTATATCTATCTAATCTTCTATATCTATCTAACTATATCTATCTATCTATCTATATTTATCTATTATCTATCTATCTATCTATATCTATCAATTCTTATCTATCAATATGTATTTATCTATATCTATCTATTTATCTATCTATATCTATCTATCTATCTATATCAATTCTTATCTATCTATCTATATCTATTTATCTAGACCTATCTATTAATCTATCTATTAATCTATCTATCTATCTATCTATCTATATCTTTATCTTTATCTATCTATCTATATCTATATCTATCATCTATCTATCTATATCTATCATCTATATTATCTATCTCTATCTATCTCTCTCTCTCTCTCTCTCTCTCTCTCTCTCTCTCTCTCTCTCT